TGGGCAGCTTGCATGTCTGGAAAGGCACCATTAATGCAGAGAACTATGTTCAGGTTCTAGAACAACATATGCTCCCATCTAGACGTCATCTCTTTCAGGGAAGACCCTGCATTTTTCAACACGATAATGCCAGACCACATTCTGCAGCAATCACAACATCATGGCTACGTAGGAGAAGGATCCGGGTACTGAAATGGCCAGCCTGCAGTCCAGATCTTTCACCTATAGAGAACATTTGGCGCATCATAAAGAGGAAGGTGCGACAAAGAAGGCCCAAGACGATTGAACAGAGGCCTGTATTAGACATGAATGGGAGAGCATTCCTATTTCTAAACTTAAGAAACTGGTCTCCTCTGTCCCTAGACGTCTGTTGAGTGTTGGAAGAAGAAGGGGGGTGCCACACAGTGGTAAAAATGGACTTGTCCCAACTTTTTTGGGATTTGTTGACGCCATGAAATTTGGAAACAACAGATTTTTCCCTTAAAATGATACATTCTCTCAGTTTAAACTTTTGATCAGTGATTTGTGTTCTATTCTGAATAAAATATTAGATGTTGGCACCTCCACATCATTGCATTCAGTTTTCATTCACAATTTGTTTAGTGTCCCAACTTTTTTGGAATAAGGTTTGTATATTTTTTCAGTTCATTTGTTTTGAAACACCAACCTTCAGAACCCACATAGTTTGTTAAATAGGATTCAAATGTGAGCAATTTATCTCAAATGATCTAAACCACCAATTAAAAGGCATCACGAAGACCAAGGAACTCTCCACACAGGTTAGAGACAAATTTGTGAAGTACAGCTCAGGGCTGGGTTATTAAAATTATCCCAGAATTTTTAACATCACAAAAATCTCCATTTAAAAATCTATTAATCTATTATTAGAAAATGGAAAGATGATGCCACCACAACGACCCCGCCGAGAGAGGGTCGTCCACCCAAACGGAATGGAGAATGAATGGAGTAAAAATGCAGGGAGCCTTGAGAGGACTTTTTGAAGTCTTCCAGAGACTGGACACTGGGACAGACGACCACCTTCCAACAGGACAATTGTCCTGAACACACTGTTGAAGCAACACTCCACTGGTTTAAGGAGAACCAGCTAAAGGTCCAGGAATGGTCCAGTCAAAGCCCGGACCACAGTCCAACTGAGAATATCTGGTTCGATTTAAAGATTGTTGGACTCGAGCGGCACCCATCCAGTCAGAAGGAGCTGCAGAAGTTTGGACTCGGAGAATGGACGAGATCTTGGAGACTTGCTGTAACTGCTGCAAATATGGTTCTACAAATTATTCAGTTTTGAGGGCTGAGTACATATGCATACACCGTTTTTTGTTTAATGTTTTAAACATTATTTAACATATATACAGTATATATATGTGTGTTTATTTATTTTTGCAATAATAGAGTTGGTTAAATGTAAAATATCCAGCCACTGAAACATCTTAATTAGGGTCATTGGTCTTGGAAAATTCTTGTTAAGGTTAAATAAATTACATAGGATTCAACTTTTAGAACAACAAAAAACTTGTTTAATAATAAAGATCCTATTGTGCAAATAAACCTTCCCTTATGTACAACACAAGATGGACAACAACAAAAATGTACCTTTTTCAATTAGTTCCAATATGTTCAAACAACTTTTTAAAAACATTTAAAACTATTTCTCCCTCTGACTCGCATTTATAATACAATTAACTCAAACCAACAAAGTCAAAAACACTGGTGAGCTTTTTGGCTAGAGCTGCGAGTTCTTCGCGGACTTTCTCCGTACGGACTCAAAGGAGTCTTCGTTAAAAAGTCGTTCGATTGTTGAGACGAGGGAAGCTTTGATGGCGTGGCCCAGGCCTCTGGCAGCAAACACGTACAGCACAGGATTGAGAGCGCTTTTAACGTACACCAGGAACAGAGAAATGTATTTGGCATATTTGTATAAAATGTGCAAATGAGACCCTTCGGGTGTCAGGGCCAACAGAAACCGACAAACAAAATAGGGCACCCAGCAGGTGAGGAAGAGGAGCATGGTGACAAAGAGCACGTGGTACACCCTAGCCATCTTCCGCGCCATCGATAGGTTTGTAGAGGTTGGTGTTGGAGGCAGAACTTTTTTAATGGTGACCAAAACAGCCAGGTTACTCCCAAGAAACACCAGAAGGGGCAACATGAAACCTGCTATCGTTTCTGTAACAAACAAACCCATATTGAATTTCCCACTCAGATAGCACTGTAGTGTCCCATTCTTTTCCTCCAGAACAGCAAAGTGGATGTACGGGGCTGAGAAGATTAAGGCCGCCAGCCATAAGAGGCCACAGGTCAGAGGAACAGCCCAGTGGGGTCGTCGCAGTCGAGCCCACACGGGTCTCAGCAGGCACAAGCAGCGCTCCACGGCCACAGCACATAAAAGGAAAGCCGAGGCATACAGCCCCAGGCCTCGAAGGAACATGATCAGTCTACAGAAGATCTCCCCAAACGGCCAGCTGTACTTATGGATGAGGTAGCCAACCATGAGGGGGGTCCGCATGAGCAGGATCAGGTCAGCCAGGGCCAGGTTCAAGACGTAGACTCGAAAACTGCTGGCAGCATGCGTCTCCTCGGTACTTCCCCTGCGAACCAGGTGACGAGAACGTCGCCGTCCAAGTGCCCAAACCACCAGTCCATTGAGAGGTATGCCCACCTTCAGGAACCAAAGAACAGCAGTGAGCAGTTAGTTTCCATCTGACAGAACCTAAACTAGAAATAAGCACTTGTTTTAAGGTTCATGTTGGAAGTAAAGATGGATACGTTCATGAAAACTCAAGAGCTACAACCTGACTGCTTACCTGTAAATGGAATAGTCTTTATCGCAGGTTGTGTTTTTTCTTACTCATCAAATGAAACTTATAAAAATAATTATTCGGTAAACTAAAGCAAGGGTTGTCTTGGTTTATAAAACTGAATACAATGAAATACAGATGTAGGCAAATTTGTTGGTACCCTTTTACAACGATGAAAAACTATCTTCAAGGTAACTTCAACATGAAATTTTAATGTCGGACTTTACTTTTTATGATTCATTTGAATATTTCAAGTATGTAAATGGCATGGACCAAAAAAAGGTGATACTCCAATTTTAAATCTTGTAGCAGCATCTTTTGCAGCACCAGTTCTTCACGGAGACATGACATTCGCCAACAGGTAGTTCGGCCCACTCTCCTTTGGATCCTTCCAGAGGTGTTCAATAGGATTAAGAGCTAGGCTCATGAGGAGCCAATTAAGGATAATATTTTGTTTTCTCAGCTATTGATGCTTTTATCTTCATGTTTTTGGGTTATTACCCTGTTGGAGGACCCATGACCTGTAACCCAGGCTGAGCTTTCTGACACAAGGCAGTACATCTTACTCTTGGGTGCCTTGGTGTTCTTGAGACTTAATTGTACTCTGCACAGATTCAATGTTGCATGTGATAGATGCTGCAAAACAACCCTAGAACAAAACACTGCTCCGTTTCACAGAAGGTATGGTGTTCTGTTCTTGGAAAGCATCACATTTCCCTCAGTAAATTTAGAGCTGATGGGGTTGGCCCAGACGCCTCAGCTTTGTCTCACGAGGTAATTCTTCCAAAAACTGGCTCATCAACGTGCATTTTGGTGAATTAATCTGTTTGCTTTTTTTCCCCATTGTTTGTTTGTTATTTAGTAGAGGACCCCTTTTATGTCAAAACACAACAAATGGTGCAATCTATCGAAGCTGTCTTGACCTTGAAGTTCAGTTTGGTTTTTGATGATTTTCTCTGCTCTTTTTCACACATCCACACTGACCATTTGATCGATCTAGGGTTGCTCTTTTGCTTGTGTCCACGTCCTGAGAGTTTGGCTACAGTCCCATGAGCCTTCTACTTTTTAACAATACTGGCAGCTGGGTTCATGAGTGTGTAGCCTTTACCTTTACATTTAACATGGATATCTACGGTAGTCTTCGTTCTGAGCCCCTCAGAGAGCTCTGCACTCTCTAGTGTGATCTGGGATCTCGTCCTTTCGTCATGATCCAAAACTCATGACCACTGGTATGAGTTAAAATGTAGACAAATCAGTAAATTGAGATTTTTGCATTTTGACTCAGCTCTTTCATCACAACAGACCAAAGTAATGCCCTCATTACTGAGGACGATGCCCCAATCCGTCGATGCAGCTCCCTCTCCATCCTGTCATCACTCATGAACAAGACACTCAGATACTTGAACTCCTCCACCTGAGGCAAAGTCCCTCCCTTGACCCGGAGGAGGCATTCCACCCATTTCCGGTTGAGAACCATAGCCTCAGACTTTAGAGGGACTTGTTTCAGTCGCTTCACACTCGGCTGCAAACAGCCCCAGTGCATGCTGAAGGTCTTGGCCTGAAGATGCAAACAGAACCACATCATCTACATAAAGCAGAGATGAGAGCCTGGGGTTCCCAAACCCTCCTCTCCATGACTGCATCTCAAGATCCTGTCACCACAAGTAGGATCAAAGACAAGGGACATCCCTGGCTGAGTCCAACCCGCACTGGGAACGAGCTCGACTTGGTGCCAAGAATGTGGACACAGCTCCTGCTTTGGTTATACAGGGACTGGATAGCCTTTAAGAGCAACTCGGGCACCCTATACTCCTGTTGCACCCCCCACAGGATGCCTCGAGGAACACGTTCATAAGCTTAGTTCCTCAAAACACACGTAGACTGAAGAGGCAAACTCCCATGACCCTTAGCAGCTCTGCAAGGGTGAAGAGCTGGTCCACTGTTCCACGTCCAGGATAGAAGCCACACCTGAGTTCAGGTCTCTCTTGTAAATGAGTCCTAGAGGCTCAATGGGATTTACCTGTCTAAATAAAGGTTGAATGAATGAATGAGTCTCCTGAATCAGGTTCCACAATCGGTTGGAGCCTCCCTTCCATTCCAAATAAAGATGTAGTTTGATTAAATGCAAGATTACTGTATTTTTCGGCCTATAAGTCACAGTTTTTTGCACAATTTACATGCCCTGCGACATATACTGAAGCGACTTATTTGTTTTCTTTCCCCCCCATATTTATAAACCAATTTTTGTTTGAGATATTACCGTTTTCATTCATTCTGACACTGAAAATATTGAACACTGCCATTTTCAGCCACTAGATGGCACTCGAGTAGTATGGCATGCCTTTGTGTCGTTATATTTAAAAGTGGCTATTAATGACACAATCAGCTTGCCATACTCTGCCACCTTCGTCCATCTCTGGGATCACGCCTGGAGCAACCGTCAAATCAGCTTCATTTTGCTGCACCAACCCGGCGAAATGCAGCTAATTTGACCATTGAAGTGCATTTATTACGTAAAAGTTCAACTGAGACACACCTTTACTATAATTTTAAAACAAATAATTGTTTTTAAGTGTTAATCTTGTTAAATTCTTGTTAAAGTCCTGTGCATGCTCCCGCGGCCGCCATTTGGCAGCCAATCAATTTTTAGCGCACCAGCCAATGTTTCCGGGTTGTCAGCGGAGACGCGTAACAAACGTGACGCGTCAGCGGTGACGCATAATAGATGCGACTTATACGGCGAAGCGACTTTTAATGTTTTTTCCATTTTATTAGACATATTTGGATTAATGCGACGTGTGCGGTGGAAAATACAGTAATGATATTTTCAAGTGTACCAACAAACCTGTCTGTAGCATGAAAATAAATCATTTATTTTCACAATGTTTTGTTTACTCTTATCACATAAAGACATGCATTAAATATTTTATTTTAACTAAATTGATTTTCAAGAGAAATGAAGTGTTTCATTGAGCTGTAAGGGAAGCAACAATTTCAAACAAATCAGCGTGTGTGCAGCAGAATTTCATCCTCAGCGTTTCTCACCAGAAATATGACCAGGGTGACTGCAATCTGGATTCCCCTCGAAGCCTCTTCTTCCCACGGCTGACTTGTTTTATTTGAGGCATCCATTTACTTTGAGGAGCTGAAACAAAGTCGACACGTTTGAAAAGGCTTGAACAGAAAAGGAGAAACATTGCACATCTACTTATCACCTAATGTGCAAAACAGTCTGAAGCCGTTTCCACAACCCAATCTGAAGACCACAGGCTTCCTTTCTCTTGCAATTATTTTTTGTGGCACGACAACCAAAGTAGTAAGAATCTGCATTTCTTTTTTTTTTTATCCTGTGTAAATGTACTTGTCCTCAGAACAGCTTTGAAGAAGCTCACGTGTATTAACATGCATTAAGGTACGCACCGTAGGTGGATTAACATTAATGATTAAAGTGAAAGGAATTTGTCAATTGTACAACTAAGTTGCCTTGGGGTTAAAACTGAATGTTGGAATAGCAGAAATATTTGTGTGTAGGTGTCTTGAAAAAATTGTCCCGCTGAACGCAGCAAAGTCAAAGTTACAGATGTTAATTCAGATTAAAAGCTTTTCATAGTCAACAGTAACCAGTGGGTCTATGCAAAGCGTTTATAACCTAATTAATGTCTGTGTTAAGAGCTGATTAGGATCATTTTGATGCTAATTACAAAGGTTTTCTTACCTTTTTATCTTCCTGGTGCGTGGATCAACAGGAGCAGCAGCTAAAGAGAATGGGAGTGTCATAACATCTGCTTTTACCCTCTCTCTCACTCCCTTTCCTGTGTGTGATTACAACACGTTTTCTACTTCCAAGCACATCTACAACTCGTTACTGGTTTTACGTTCGATCATAAAGCCATTATCTCTTTGCTTAAACAGCTTTATCAGTTGCTTTGCTTAAGTAGACGTATGCCGGGACTAAAGCACGGTCAAGTGAGCAAACATCAACTACAAACAGTAAAAAAAAAATAAAGTTAAAGAAGTAGAAAGCTTTTGAAAGTTTCATTTTTTTTTTTAAATGTTTTTGTCATTTTATACAGTTGTTCGTATTCTGATTTTGAGCTTCTGTTTGTTTACAAGCCTGTTTACTAAAGATTTTAGAATTGTGCAGTTTGTAAAAAAATAGACAGAAATTAGCTTTCAAAATTGTATTTTCTGTGAAAATGCAGAATACATTTTTTTCTAATTCTTTGCAGAATAAATTGTTAAAACAAGTAGAACCAAAGTGTAAAGCAACAAAACTGTAGCTAAAAACTAAAGTTGGAATAAACTCTGTAGATAAATACTAAAATCTGCAAACTGTTGCTAAAAGCTAAAATTAGCAAACTGGTAGCTAAAAGCTAAAACAGCAAAAGAGTGACTAAAAGCTAAGAACAACAAAATTGGCTAAAACTAAATGAGCAAAATGGTACCTAAAATCTAATCTCAGCAAAACAAAAGCTAAAATTAGCAAAACAGTTGCGTAAAGCTAAAGTTGCTTTTAAACGTTAAAATCAGCAAAACTGTAGCTAAAGGTTAAAAATGTCAAAACAGTATCCAAAAGCTAAATTCAGCAAAATGTTAGCTAAAAGCTAAAACGAGAAAATTGCAGCTAAAGTTAGCCAAACAGCTCCTGAAAGCAAAAACTAGCATGGTAGTTCAAAGCTAAAAATAGCAGAACAGTGGTTAAAAGCTAAAATGTACAAAATATTAGCTAAAAGCTAAAATTTGCTAAACAAACAGTAGCTAAAAGTTAAAATCAACAAAATGGTAGCTAAAATAAGGGAAAATAGTAGCTCAAAGCTAAAATCAGCTAAATGGTACCTGCAAGATGAAATTACCTGACAGGATTTAACCGTTTTTGTTTTTAGCTACCTGGATGATTGAGCTTACAAAACTTTTTTTTAAATTTTTTTTACGTAACAGAAACTAAGTTAAAATAGCAGAACTGTGGCTAAGAGTAGCAAAGAAGAGAAAGGATGCTTAATCAGATTCCAAAAAAATGACTTGAAGAGATGTCGGTGTATTTTTATGAAAAAATTATTTCAAATAAGTTTAACATTTTAAAAAGTCTAAAAGTTACAAATGTCACATCCCGTTGGCCCGAACGAGCAGAGCAGGAACGCAATCAGCATTCAAACTTTTGTTTACCGCTAATCACACCAAAAAAGTTCAAACAAAAATGTATTACTTTTAAAGTATTGACATCAATCAAGCACAAAAGTAAAACCTTATATTATTGATTTTTCATTAAAAAAACAAAAGGCATTTTTACTTATTTTGTCTTTGTGTCTTATGTTTTTATTGTTTTCCGTCTCACTGGTTTGTATTGCTACAACAATGGTGACGCAACATGAGGCATCGAGTGGAAATAGATGTAATCTGTGTTTCTGGAAGTGGAAAGGTTTATATTTCCTGTTTTCAGTTTGTTTTATCAGCTGCAACGTGCAAGTGATGGAACAAGAATAATAAATCTGTCATAACACTACCACTCACTGATGGGACCTTTGCAGTCTTGCTCCCATGTGGACAATGATGGAGTTGTCTGTAAAGATCTGAACCCTGGAGATGGTCTTGTTACTGGACTTTTCTGCTAGGCATAAAGAACACCATGTTAGGTGGTCCATAAATGTGCTTTGGTATCAGACCATTTTAGACCAAACGCTGATCGTTTTTGTCATCGTATCATCAGAACTGTATGTCTTGGACACTCCGGTAAAGAGTGGCCGAGCTGAGTTCATCTCAAGTCCAGAAGAAGTTTTCACATGTGCCGGGGGAGATTGGGACATGGAATCTGAATGAGCCGTGTTCAGGGCCTTTTCCAGATGTTGTGGCCTGAAGGTCTTTGCTGCCTGTTGTTGAAGGACCTACTGGTGAAGAGCAGCAGTGATGGAGGCTGTTAAGCTGAAGAAAGGACTCACGAAGCAGTTGATGCAAATACTCGGTCATGGGGAGAATTTGGAAAAGGACTTTTGGTTGGCCCAAAGGAAGTTCTGGCAAAATGTTAAGCAACTCAAAAAGGGAACGCAAGCTCCATCCCAGCCATTAGTTTAGGTGGGAAACTGCTGACTTAGACTGGGAATATTGTTGAGCGGTGGAAGGATCTCCTTAATTTGTCCACCTGTGAGGAGGCAGAGTCCAAGGACAGAAGTACTTCTTGCTGTAAGTGGAAGGATTGAGATGGATAGATGAATCTGAGCTCCTTTAGCACACAGACTTCTCTGCTTTAAACAGTTTGCATTAATATGTGTGTTTTGCTTTTTTTTTTTTTGTCTTGGTTTAACTGTCTGTGTTGAAATCGGCTTTAATTTTGGATGGTAAAAATATTTGTAAGCTATAAATACTTTCATGATTACACAAGTTGTTGCAGTCAACACAGCTTCCTTTCACAAGACACGCACGTGCGTGTGGTCAAAAGTGTGTGTTCTTGAACTGAGACCACATAAAATAATTTTTTGTTTGCTTTGACTTTATGCTATTTTGAAAATGGTTTTCAACAACTCAAGCTTGGCATTCTTTAAGGAACGCGTATCATAAATATTAGCTTAATAACTGTCAAGGTGACTAAGTTGCAGCCACTTTTTGTGCTAATGTCAGTTAGCTGTAGGCTGTTAGCAGTTAGATGTTGGGTGTAACTTGGACCCTGAGTACATAATTTCGTTCCACCTCATGTACCACATGTGATGTGAATGACAATGAACTTGAACTGTGGCGGCCATATTGAATTGGTTTGTCGCTATAGAAAGACAATTATCTCCCTTCGACTCTCTGCAGCAGGCCACAACGAAGTCATTAAATTTTGTAAATAAAAACGTTCACGCTGTTCTGAAAACTTTAAAGCTGGCAGTGATCCACTTTGTTCCAGTTACAGATAACTTTTGTACTTTACCTTAAATATAAAATTCGTATGCATGCGTCTGTCTTCACAGTGGAAAAATACTATGTTCAGCGTGTTTTGAAATAATGACGAATCATGCATCTCCTGTTTTATCTGGCTAAAACAAATATATCTCATGATTGATATCTTGTCTAACTGGTCCATGTTTAATCTAAATAGAGCAGGAGTACGTCAACAACAGCCCAGTTATCAAAGAACACGGAGCACAATTCCTTTCTCACCTATTTTACTTGTCTTTTGTCATCACATGAACAGAGCTATAAAACTGGACTGAACTTTCTGTCATCCGCAGGCTTTGTGACGCGTCCTGCACAAGTACGAGTCTGTTTATTGCAGGAAACAAATTCAAAGACCATTTTTGAACATCTTTAATTTCACCTATTTCTGTGTTGAAACAACTTAAAGTAAGAAAATCCACAACATTCCTTACTCAGTCCGGCCTTCAACTCATCAGTCAGAATAAAAACTCTTCAAAACTCTGCAACAGGTAAGATATTTGCTGTTCGTGCACTTTCCACAGAACCCCACTTCACAACATTTAAAGTGTTGCATTGAGTTTTAAATATAGTTTAAGGGAAAATGCCAATAAGCTTTACAATTATATGGTATTGTGTCTGATTTTGCCACTGGCTAATTTCCATCTGCAGACTAGGAAAGTTAGATACAAACCAATAAACATAAAAGCAAAGGTGCTACTTTCTCACTCTTTTATCATAATCCTGTACAAGAAATAAATTTAGAATTTCATATAACATGAAAAGTACAAAATCAAGGCATGATAACAGGACTGGTTACTAAAAAGTTTTTTGTTTTTAGACCTTAAGGATAAACGAGGACGTCTGTGCATGCTTACAAACTGTTAGGAAATGTTTTCTTCTTTAATGGTGATGAAAGCTGACATGTTTAAACGCATTGGGTTGAGTGTCGTCACAGCAGAAGAAGAGGAGTGAGGAAAATGTGTTTAGCTGTAATCACAAGATGAAACAAGTTCCCCGTCTCTCGCCCAGTGGCCGCTAGAATTAGACCAGCTCTCTGCCACTCTGCACAGAAAAGCAGCTAAAGGAAACGGATGCAACGCAGCATCAGCTTTCCTCTGATCGATGAGGTGGAACGCTGCTCGCAGGAGCAGGAAAACGAGACGACGCACTTCAGAACCAGCAGGGCCAGGTTTAGTTGGTTTATTTTTGTAAACCAAAAGTCATACCAGACATTTAAACAGTCT